CGTGCCCTGCAGTGGTTAATTTCAATATTGTACCTTGAAAACTCAAGTCAAAAGATTAAGCAAAACAATACACCCTTGACACTTGGGTTCAATAAAAGAATGGCATTAAGGTTGAAACATTTCTGTCAAAAAAGTCTGTAAAATGCCCTTTAAAAGTAACTTTGAAAAGTAACTCAGCAACTTTACTTGTTATAACAAACTACTTGTTAAATAACATTTGAAAAGAAACTTAGTTCCTTTTAAAAAGTTATATAGTTACATCATATCCCATAAGTAATTAATTACAGGTAGCTGCTTTGTTTGTACCTATTTACTTCAACGTTCTGGTTGGGGGATTGATGACAGAGCAGCAAGGATGGCATAGTTTTTCTCAATGGGAAGGCTTGGGGCGGACTGGACTTTCCTTCGTACTTTTTGCCCTATAATGCCTGGAAAACCTTTTTTTTTCTATGTTTCATAATGCTACAGCCCTTGGAAACTTTTCTGTTTAAAACACATTTTGATAAAATTAAGCTGAAGCCATATTCATACCCAAAAGGAAAGGTTATCTGTCAAATTTCTCCTAACCCCATCTCCTTTAACACACATTTACACCCCTCCCCATATACAAACGTGTATTGGAGGATGAAGTATATGTCCAGCTAAATCCTTCTGCATTTCATGATAAGGATTTAGCTATTTAAAAATTTCTGCTAAATCAATGTGTGGCAACAGCCCAGCAAGACCAGTCAATTAAAGGGGAAAACCTGCAAGTGTTAAATTTTATATTACATAAGAATAATATAAGGAAAGTAAGAAAAACAGGATTTCTTTGATCATTGATGTCTTGATTGAAAAATGGTTCTGGGATGTGGAATGAAGGTTATAATAAAATAAGCAATATGAGATTGCAACTGGAATTTCAGAAGATCCGGCATTTAGTCAATTGGCTTAATGATGAAATCAGACAATTTCCAGGGTGCTGCCCCTAACCCCAGCTTAACTGTATGATTCAGAATTTCCCAGAAATTTTTCTGCACATTGCAGCCAGAATGCAGAAGGCTGCATGCACATACCACTGCTTGCCGACTTCTACTCTCTCGACATCCCTCCATGATCCCCTGTGCTGCTCCATGCAAATAGTATTGAAGAAGCACAGCCAGAAGGAGACATCACATCGTTTCCTTTGTGTAAATATTGAATTGCCTTATATGCATGCATAATAGGCTCTCGGGACCATGATATACATTACTGGATTTAACAACAAATCATAAACATGCTTTTTGGCTAAAGGGTTACATTGAACAACACTGGGAAATGATTAATATCTTCCTCTGGCCAGAAGGTTTTTCAGAGTCTTGCACACACATCAAGACTGCCTTCTGCACACTGCTACTCTGGATGAGCTTCAGAAGAGCCTCAAACCCTATTCATGTCTTAAGGGATCTGAGTACAGAAAACATGTAGGGGAACAGACTAATCCCAGCTCCTTTTCACAGATTTCTATAGGAGCATTCAAGTCATTGTCCCCATGGATACTCTCACCACATTTAAAGGGAAGCATCTAGGCCAGTAGTTCCAAACCTTGAACCCTCATGTTCCTGGGCTACAGCTCCCAGAAATCCTGGCCAGTACAGCTACTACGGAAGGCTTCTGGGGTTTTTAGTCCAAGAACATCTGCGGAGCCATAGTTGGGAACTATTGATCTTAACCCCCTGTTAGTGCTTTCTACATGTGGAAAGCAATGCATCTGTAGCTGAGACCTTCCTGCTTTTGTTGCACTGCATGCAAGCAAGAACTCTGGAAAACTGGAGGTCTTGCTCCCATGTAGTACCATTCCTGGAGAAAAATGTGGGAAGCAAACACTGGATGAGGCTTATTTTTTTCTGCCATTTGACATGAATAGCTCATGTAACCCTTGGGCTCTGATTCCTAGGTAGTGGCCAAGGCCAGCCTATGTCTCCTTGCAGTTCTGTAGACCCTGGGTAATTGCAAGTCTTATTTGCTGCATCTTTCTGATGTGTTGAAACATAAATTCCCTGGGTTTTATGACCCCATTCTGAACCCAAGCCTATGCTTTAGAGCAGAATTCATCTGTTCTGGCAGGCCTTAAATTACATCCGGTTTTATACACAGCTTTGTCGTCATTTTTTAAAAAAAGATAACAGGAGCAAATTTGTGGCGATGGAATATCATGTAGTTGAACTTCCTGCATATCAATTACATAAGATATTTCTCATGAACTGCAACCTTTCATCATTCATGTCACATATGTGTTTCTACAGTATTAACCATCATATTGACTTATGAGAAGATTCACTCTCAATAGAAAAGTTCTCTCTTTTCTGAAACCTCTTCCACTTGTTACTCTGTACTCAGTATTTCTGCTTCAAGTGGTATCTATGTATAGTAGGAGATAACATAGCCTCCTCTGCATATTGAAAGCATATTCAGAGGGAGCTGCAGGGCCAGAAGAACTAAGCCTGTCCACTGTTGTTACCCTGCATGGTCTCTACATCTCTAGCGCACATACATTTGACATTCATGGAAGGAAAGTGATCTTAAGTCATATTCAGTCATTACCCAAGTGGGTAGGTAAAGATAATGATGCTGGGAAAGGAGGAAGGCAGCAAAAGGAAGACCAAATATGAGAGACTTTTCAACTTCAAAAGGCTTTAATCTACAAGCATTGAGCAGGACTGACAGGACATTTTGGTGATCGCTCATTAATAGGGTCACTAGAAGTTGGAAGCAACTTGATGGTACATAACAATTCCAACCTAAGTAGATGTCTTTATTCAAGCTAGAAAGGTGAGCTTTAGCCCTGCTTCCTTCCATATCCTTTTGTTCATAGAAAGTGATGATTTTGAAGATGTCTGCTATCCATGGTAGTACTCTTCAAGGTGCAACCAGTCTATCAGCTTAAATCCTGCCAGGCATTTGTTGTTGTTGTCGTTGAGTTGTTAAGTCATGGACCCCATGGACCTGAGCATGCCAGACCCTCCTGTCTTCCATTGCCATCCAGAGTTGGGTCAAATTCATGTTGGTCGCTTCGGTGACACTGTCCATCCATCTCATCCTCCGTCGTCCTGTTCTCCTCCGTCATCCCGTTCTCCTCTTGCCTTCACACTTTCCCAACACCAGGGTCTTTTCCAGGGAGTCTTCTCTTCTCATGAGATGGCCAAAGTATTGGAGCCTCAGCTTCAGGATCTGTCTTTCCAGTGAGCACTCAGGGTTGATTTCCTTCAGAATGGATAGGTCTGTTCTCCTTGCAGTCTAGGGGACTCTCAAGAGTCTCCTCCAGCACCACAATTCAAAAAACATCAAGTCTTCAGTGGTCAGCCTTCTTTATGCTCCAGCTCTCACTTCCACACATCATTACTGGATGACTTAAGTGATTACAGAATAGGGTTTTGGCTACAAACATGACAGCTTCCTTGAAATGACAGTATGAAATTACTATCGCATAATGCTTGAAACTTAATGACATCTCGTATAATAGTAACACACATTAGAAGTAAACCACTGATTCTTTCAACTTTAAATAATTCTCTGTGTCTTCTCATTTCCTGTCTGAAGCTTTGGTACAATAATAATGAACAATGGCCTATTAAGGGAAATATTTTGCTGATGTTTTTATGATAGCAATAGAATTTTAGAGGAAATGAATTAAACTGTATTCATAACAATATTTCAGGCATGTTTGGCCAACCATGCCCTTCACAGCATGGGGAAAATGTAATGGAATTTAAAACAAAACAACAACAAAAAGAGTAACATGTTCAGCACATGTTGTGGTTGAAGACACATAAGGAAAAAAAACAGATTGACAAAGGCTTCAAGCAAACTGTTTTTCGGTGCAGGGAAAGTAGCACTTCCATTCAGACCTGGGGGGAAAATGCAACAATGAAACATGGTCACCTGAGGCACATTTATACAGTATATGTTGGCCTCCAGTGAAAATACCCAAGAGAAAATCTACATGATTCTTTATAGTGAAATTGAACTGATACTTTTTATTTTTGGTCATCTAGAGCAGGGGTCCCCAACCCCCAGTCCGCAGCCCAGTGCCAGTCCATGGAGACAGATCTCCCACCCACCCCGGCATGCACTCCCCCCATGCACAGCCCCTTTGTGCATGCCCACGAGTGCTTCCGTGCGAGCATCTCCACCCCTTTGTGCATGTGTGTGAGTGCCCCCTGAGTGCCCTCTGCCCTTCACGCATGCAGTTCTCCAACTGGTCCACAGTGCTAAAAAGGTTGGGGACCACCGATCCGGAGCAATGGTTCTCAGACTGGGGTCCTCAGATGTTCTTGGCCTGCAATTTCCAGAAGCCTTCACCACTAGCTGTGCTGGCCAGGATTTCTGGGAGTTGCAGTCCAAGAATGCTTGGGAACCCAAGTTTGAGAACCTCCAATCTAGAACAGTGGTTCCCAACCTTGGGTCGCCCAGGTGTTCTTGGACTGCAATTCTCATAAACCATGGCTATCACAGCTGATAGTAAAGGCTTCTGAGAACTGCAGTCCAAAAACAGTGATGGTAAAGGCTTCTGAGGACTGCAGTCCAAAAACAGCTGAGCTACCAAGATTAGGAAACAATGATCTAGATACACAACTGAGAGCTGGTGGTGTAGCAGGTAGAATGTCAGATGAGCACTTGGGGCTGAGCTACCCAAGATTAGGAACCAATGATCTAGAGACACAACTGAGAGCTGGTGGTGCAGCAGGTAGAATGTCAGATGAGCACTTGGGAGACAATGGTTCAAATCCCCACTTGCCCATGGAAACTCCCTGGGGGTGGCAATAGTAATAACATTCTTTAAACATCTCACACAGTTGGAAAACACTATTAGGGTCCCCATGAGTCAAAAGCAACTTGATAGCACATGACAAATAGTGAAATAACAGTAAGGCTTTGTAGCTTGAGCAGGCAAAGACTCACAACTTCTTAAGATGCTTCCTGTTTGGAGAACACCAGTGCTAAATATTCACAGCCTTTCCTACCCATTGATATACTTTCAGAACCCCCCGTTGGACAAATGCACCCTCCTCATGGAAGCGTAACACCTCAGAAAAACAGCAATCTTCTCGTCATTATTGTTGTCACTGTTGGAGTTGTGACTGTGGTAGTCGTGGTGATTGTGGCTGTGATTTGTACCAGGCGGTCGTCGGCGCAGCAGAGGAAGTAAGTAATCTGGATAAATAAATAAATAAATAAATAAATATACTTCTATCCCTCACCATTTTCTTTCTAGCCTGGAACAAAACTAGGTGCAGACAAGCCTGGTTTCGTTTTTGTTTTGTGTTTTCCTCTTTCAATCAATCAGGGATGCCCATTCCAACTAGATTTGTGTTTGGACTTTAAATTGGAAGAAATGAAATTAAAATCTCAGTTAAAGATGTTATAGGACGGCAAGGTTTGGGAAGGGGTGGTCTCTGAGAAAATTTGCACATTTTTATGTTTTTTTTTTCAAAATTTCTGTACAATGTGCAGTACTGAAATATATAACTGTTGTAATAATTGCACCCTTGTTGTGTGAACTAATAAAAGTAGCATGCTTGGAGAGGTTTTTCCACCTTTATATAGGCCTGCTCTTTTGGTTTTGCTGCATGTATATCTTTAGCTTCCCAAAGGGGATAAAATACCATTTTGCATGGAGATAGGAGTGTTATACAAATTACATTTTGTACAAATTGTGAAAATCAGCATCGACAAGAAACAAAAACGAAACAAAAACCTCAACTAGAATTGCAGCAAGATTTCTTCAGACTCTTTTCCATGACGGAATACAACTAGAATGCAAAATATTTATGTTCTCTCTCTCTCTTTCTCCACAAATTGAATTGAATATTAATCATAGGGCAGAGCTTTGTTGACATTAGAGGTGAGCAGGGACCACCCCACGTGTCTTTGTTACCTGGGCAGAAATGAAAAATTGTGACAGCTCTCTAGGAATGATGAATAACTGGCATTTTGTGTTAGTTGAGAAGACTTACCTCCTTCTATCTGCAGGGGTGAAATGTTGTAGAGTTTAAGAGGGGACTTGTCATGAACTGGATGAAAGAGGAGGGAATCAGGAAGGAAACACAAAGAACAGAAGGACTGGACATTCTCTTCCTGACTTGCAAGAGAACTGATATTCTAGACTCATGAGCTTATGGGGTTAGATTAGAGGCCCTCAACACTGGGGCTTTGCTTGTCATTCAAATGAGCCTCTCAATTGCATATAACAATGTCTTTCCAAGACAATTATGTCCTCCCATGTTTCAAGATGCTTCCACCCAGGTACACAGTTCTTCAGTTTTCTGTTTCCATTTCATATCCCTACTGATAGGGATATAAAAGCTCTTTTGTAAGGTAGCTCATGATATTTTTCTGCTTGAGTCAGAAAAGCAAATGGCTTCTCATCCCAAGGCAAGCTGCTTTGTTATTGGCATCTAAGGCAGAAAATCTAATAAGTTCCTCTTTTCTCCCTTCCTGGCAATAAAAACACAAGAAGAATAAATTAAATAACCAGGAACAGGAAATATTGCTTTCTTTGGACCACACTTCCAATAATACTCCAATCAGCATGAATCGTCTGGAAGTTACAGTTCAGACAACAACAAATTTCTCTTGTTTCTCAATAATTAACAATTTTCTGCCCTGTCAGGCTTTCCCAAATCAGCTGAACCAGGCAGGTATCCCAGTGGTCAAGATGGACCTGATCAAAAGTGTAGGCTTTGTCTCCCTGGCTATCAGTTTTGGTTCTTGCTCCTTCCCTGCCTTCTAGATTTTCCTTGACTCCCAGTCCTGGGGACCTTTTGTCTTGACCTCCCAACTCTGCCATTTTTCTATGCCACCTACCACCACCAAGGACTGTGATAGCCAGAAAGTAACTAGGATGCAAGAAAGACAAAATTGAAATAAATGTGAAGTAGCTTTTCTATGCAGTGAACAGCCAGGCAGTGGGATTTCAGAATATCTTGGGAAAGTTTAATGAGCTCTGTGGAGAATAATCACACCATGCTCAGAGTGAGAATGAACGTTCAGATGTTCTGGGGCTAGAGAAGATCAGAAAACTAAGCCTTCTATTACAAATAAGAACCAAGCTATTGGTTTAGCTGGATGCTAAGTTTTATCTAAAATAAATGACAGAACCAGAAGATGTATAAAGATCTATATTACAGCTTTATCATAGAAGAGTAATCTTCCATGGCCACCATCTTCGCATGGCACTGAAAAGCCACCAGTCTGTGACTATAGGCAGCTACTTTGAACATTGTGAGTCTTCACTAGTAAACACAAGGAAACTCAACCTATGTTCAGCGTAACTTCCAGCAGAGTTGGAAATGATGCCAACAAGCTTCTGTAATTTTGGAACAGGCATTGAGGATGAGTTGATAAAAATTAGGAGATACCAAGCCACCATGTCAGCCATTTCCCCAGCCCCATACAGGAATTCACTTCAGACACAGATTAAAGAAATAATAAAGGAGGATATCCTACCCAAGCTTCCTTCATCATAATTTCTGGTTGCCTTTAATACATGGAAGTTGAAAGTCTGAATTGGCCAGCTTCCTCTATCCACAAACAGGGACGTGGTGGCGCTGCGGGCTAAACTGCAGAAGCCTGTGCTGCAGGGTCAGAAGACCAAGCAGTCGTAAGATCGAATCCACGCGACGGAGTGAGTGCCCGTCAGTTGTCCCAGCTCCCGCCAACCTAGTGGTTCGAAAGCATGCAAATGTGAGTAGATAAATAGGGACCACTTCAGTGGGAAGGTAACAGCGTTCCGTGTCTAAGTCGCACTGGCCATGTGACCACGGAAGATTGTCTTCGGACAAACGCTGGCTCTATGGCTTGGAAACGGGGATGAGCACCGCCCCCTAGAGTCGAACACGACTGGACAAAAATTGTCAAGGGGAACCTTTACCTTTACCTTTACCTCTATCCACAAAGAAGACTCTGCACCTCTCTCGGGGTTTCAGATATAGCTGAGCCTCTTCTTTTTAAGATTGTCTGCCTCCATGTATGAGAGACTATAGAACGGGAGATGCAGACAGTAGAACTAGTGGAGTGTCCCCTCTTATGTGTTTAATCTATACATAACACAAGCACCTGAACAGGTTTCATATATCCAGTCATAGCACTAGTTTCAAGTCTTGGCTTTCATTGTTTGGTATGGATGTCTTTAGGCTGTGTGAAGCCTCAGTCCCCCTCCATGTGCTCTAGTGATACTATTGCTTAGCTTAGTAAATCACAAAAGAGTAGGCCCTATTAAATCAGTGGAGATTTGTTAAGTCACCTAACGTCTGTTCATGAAAAAAGATTCAAATAGGCTTACTTTAACTTGTAAGTCACTGTTAAAGTAGGCCATTTCAGTCAATGGAACCTATGGAGGAGGTCACTCACCAAGTCTTCATTGATTCAGTGGGCCTACTCTAGTACAATTTATTGTTCTAAGCACCAGGACGCTGGGCGCTGTAAATGAGAAGAGTAACAAGCACAGGATTATGTCTTTTATTCAGACGCACTATACTCTTTATCTCTAACACATTCATATCTGAAGAGGATCTTTCATGAAACTATGAATGAAGGGTTAGAAGATATGCCATACTTTTGGCTGGATATCAGCAAAAACCTCACTGTTAGAACAGTATGACAATAGAAACAATTTACCTTGGGAGATGATATTTCGATGCTGGTGACATTCAAGAGAAAATTGTACAACCCTCTGTCAGATCCACTTTGATTTGGATCCCTGCATTGAGCAGGAGGCTGGACATGATGGCCTTATAAGCCCCTTCTAACTCAATTGTTCAATGATTCTACCTCTGACTTGAGCAGAGTAACAACTTCAAAAATATTGAAGTAGGGGAGAAAATGAAACATAGAGATTTTACCTCTACTGCATGATTAGAGTCAACCAAGATGAAGAGGAGGGCTGCACTTTGCCCTCATGTCCTGCTAGCAGGCTCCTCGTGGCCACAATGGGAACAAAATGTTAGATTATTGATCTGGTGTGGCTTCTCTTATATTCCTATGACCCTTTCATGATTCTTCCCCCCCCCCCGCACCCATATTTCCTCTTAACCTGGCAGTAATCAACTTGAGCTTTTTCTAATATTTTGAGTGAGAAGAAAAAGCATCTGTACATCATTAAGATGTCATCATTTTAAAGGACCCCATGCAGGTTGTAGAATGGAATGGCAGAACAGAATCCCCTTAATCAAGACCTGGTTTCCCATATTGTACAAAGGTGTGACATTTCCACATGCTGAGTCATTCCATTGATTCTTTGCTGAGAAAAATCTACCAAAGGTGCAAGACAATAAGCCATCCAAACATTCTGCTAGAGTGCCACCCACATTCAGACATAGATAACTAAAGTTTGCTTATTGACTTGCTTAGAACAGAGCTAGGTTACCCTATATTCATTTCATTCGTTTGTTTGTTTAAAATATTTTCACCCTGCCTTTCTCTTTATAAAGGCATCTTATATCAGCAGAAGACAATATTTAAAAGTTAAAAACAGTATGTATACAGATACTATAAAAGAATCAAGTTGCTGCACTAAAATGGTAAACAAAATCAACACCAAAAACACATATAAAGCAACAGGAATCTATTAAAAAAGCATCTCTCAGACAGCCAGTCACCAGGGGAAAGCCTGCCTGAAGATAAAGGTCTTTGTCTGCTTGCAGAAGGAGAGCAGAAATAGGGCCAGCTTGACCTCCAGTGGGAGAGAGTTCCAGAGTATGAGAGTAGCTGCAGAGAAAGTCCTCTCTCATGTCTCCACCAAATGCACCTGAGAAGTAGTGGGACAATGAGAAGGGCCTCCCCTGATGGTCTTAGAAGGTTCATAAAGGAAGATGTGATCCTTTAGGTAGCTTGGATCCAAGCTGTTTAGAGCTTTACAAGTTAAAACTCAAACTTTGAATTATGCCCGGGATTGGCTCAGCAGCCAGTAGAGCTATTGTAACAGGGGCGGGAGGATGCTATGTGATTCCTCTAACCAACAATAGCTTGTCAGAATTTGTTATAACATGTTTACTGAAAGGTGCTTGTCCTGTGAAGACCTCAAACTTGACAATAATTGAGAACAGAACCCTAAAGTGATGTTTATACAAGAAAAATGTATTCTGGGATGACTTATTCATTTTCATTTATTTTCATTAATGACCTTTTTTCTATAGTTTTGTCTCAAATTTATCTTTGTGCTTATTCTCAGGGAAATGAAGGGAAAGGTGCAGAAATACACGATATAGTGAATGTCACATTACTCTCTTCTCTTTCTTTTCTAAAATCTTAAATGACAATTGTATTGCTACCCCAGAATTGGAGGCATGCATAGAATGACAGAGTCATTATTTATAATGCTTTAATTACAGTTTCTGCGAACATTGCTGAAATGTCTGTGGCGTAGCCCAAACTGGGAGAAATGGATGTCATTTGAAAAACTGATCAGAATCCGAAATAACATCGCTTTGATATATCAGATGTATCTTGAACAGCTTCTCTTAAGAATGATGTCCATATGAATTGGGCACAATCCACTAACAACATCTTTTCAAGAAAGTGGACTACTGGATGACTCCAGTGATTTTAAAATAAGCAGGAAGTGTATATGATAGATATTAGTCTGTTTGAAACCTATCAACATGATAATAGAATTCCATCATAGAACCATAGAATGATGAAGTTGGAAGGGGCCTATAAGGTCATCGAGTCCAACCCCCTACTCAGTGCAGGAATGCAAATTAAACGATATCTGGCAGGTGGTTTTCTAAATTTCTCTTGAATGCCTCCACTATTGGAGTACTCACCACTTCTCAAAGTAATTGGTTCCATTGTTGTACTACTCTAACAGTCGGGAAATTTTTCCTGATATTCACTCTAAATCTGGCTTCCTATAACTTGAGCCCAAGTTTGTGTGTCCTGCAGTCTGGGATGATTAAGAACAGATCCTGCCCATCCTCTGTATGATAGCCTTTCAAGTATTTGAAAAGTGCTACATATCTTCCCTCATCTTTTCCCAAGGCTAAACATGCCCATTTCTTTGAGTCTTTCCTTGGAGTGCTTTGTTTCCAGCTCCCTGATCGTTCTTGTTGCCATCCTCTGAACATGTTCCAATTTATCAATTGGAATATAATTTCCTTCTAGATTTTTTGAGGTCTAACATCTGGGATTGGGTACAATTTGCCATCCATGTATTCTGGCCCTCTGCTCTCCAACTCTCTAGCCAGTGTGCTCAGTGCAAGGAATAATTATCTAATATTGTTTGGATGCCCAGAGTTTCCTAAACCCTAGATTAGTGAATGTGGGCCTTGATCAAAAGCTTACTATTATTGTTCTTTATCCACTAAAAAGAAGAGGAATTTGCTCCATAAAAGATTATACAATAGGAACAATTTTTAAGGAATTGAAGGAAACATTCACCAAATGATTCACAAATAAATAATATGCCATAATTTGCATTTGAGACACCTCCCCTCACAGATATTACTCAGTTACTAGTTCAGTGCTTTGGCCTACAACTCTTGTCTGCTGGAACCTATCTGAAGGCAATCTATTTATTCATTCATTCATTCATTCATACATTCATTCATTCATTCATTCATTCATTCATTCATTCATTCATTCATTTAAAATATTTTCACACACACACACCTTTCTCCTTAAAAAGGACCCAAGGTGGCTTATAACAATTAAATGATAGTATTTAAGTTGGTAGCGATGAGTATACAATACTCCTGTGGGTGGGATCAGGGACCGAGAAGGCCCTTTCTCACATCAAATGCACCTGTGAAGATGGCGAGACCAAGGGAAAGATGATCTTAGCTTTTCAATAAATCATGTTTGTCATCAGTTTATTTTCCAGAGGAACCTGGGTTTCCTCAGAAGGCTGGCTTCAGTGAACAGTAGACAGTAGGAACAGCACACATCTCCAGATTTTATTTCGACCTCAACTTATTATTTGTAGGGAAAGGCCCACTTTTGTTTCAATTAAATCAGAGACAACCTATTTTACCTCAGTTTCTGACCCTGAGATGAGATTCAGAAATCCAGAGGTTCTTGCCTTATATTGACTCATGTGGTATTCAAGAACAATTGTAACTTTTTCATCTCTTTGACATAATTGGGTAAAATTAACAGCTTTAATGTCTCCTTAGGAGAGGTTTAGAGCTGGCACATTTCATACAGTGGGGTACAAATGTGCTGTCTGCCTTTAAAGTTAGGCATCTGTAAAGGGACTTGACAATAGCACAACTTTTGCTAGAGAATTAATTAGCTCCTCATATGGTACAGATAAATTTACACATATATGAAGCGGGAAGGATTAAGTCAAAATGCACAGTGATTTATTAATATAGTAATAAATAATGACTGATATTTGAAAGGAGGTAGTATTTGCATCTCCCACGTCTCCTTGAGTGGGCTAGGTTTCTGTATCCAGAACGTAATAGAGGTCAAAGATAAGTAAATCTGAGATTCCTAGACTTCTGGAAGATGGCGATTTAAAGGGAGCTTTACCTTACATCACTTTGACAGGAAGCATCTGACCTAATTTGAAGGGGTTCTGGTTGTGCTCAATGATGGCAAGTGGAATGTATTTTGGCACCAAATTCTGTAGCCTCCTGAGAGAAGATGTTTCACAGCTTGAGAACAGACATTGAGAAGCTGCTTATGAGGAGAAAGATGGTATATAAATGATATAGAAATAAATAAATAAGCTCTCTCTTGTGTGTTCACCTGATATGCCTATGAAGGTGGTAGGGTTGAGAGAAGGGCCTCCCCTGGAAATCATAAGAGCTGAGGAAGCTCTTATGGGGAGGTACAGTTCTTCAGATAGCCTGGACTCATGCCATGTAGAGCTTTATAGGTGAAAACCAGCACTTTCAGCTGGGCGTGGTAACAGACTGGAAGCCAGTGAAACTGTTCTGAGAGGAGATTTATGTTTCCTATAGCCTGTTCTGTTCATGTAGGTAGCTCACAAGAGTACTTACCCTCTTGTCCCATGACTGCTATATTAACTCAGAAGCCTGTTAAATAATTTGTGAAGATCAACATATACAATGGAGCCAGATTCAGTTAAAGTACGTACCTGCACTAAAACAGTTGGATTTAAGTGAACCACTAGTTACTGTGAAAGAAGGACGCTGATCTAGATAGATTTTGCACCGATCCATTAGGCATCTTAAATATGCTAGAGCTATATCAGCCACATGGTCACTAGTCTACATCGCTGGGAATGTTTGTAGCCATTCCCAAGCTCTAATAGCTCTGCTTGTGTAGAAAAGAGCTCAACATTATGGAGTATATGAATCTGCTTTCAAGCCAAACCCATGCGGTAAGCATAGCACGCACAAGGCGTTAAAATGTTCCAGAAGCTGAGCAGAGACTGGAAATGCATTAGAAAGGCTGGATAAGTTATATGATTCACAGAGACAGCAGAATGCCCAGTCAACTTCCTTTCTTAGTGAATGAAGGCCCAATCATGTGAAGGAGCTACATTTAAGCTTTCACCTGTTATTTTTACTGACAACTGGATAGGAAATTGCATGGTGATTGTCAAGTTCGAGAACTTTTGACTTTTCTCCCCTCTCCCAACAGAAAACGTGCAACTCACAGTGCTGGGAAGAGGAAGGGTAGCCAGAAAGACTTGAGACCCCCAGATCTTTGGATACACCACGAAGAGATGGAAATGAAGAATATTGAAAAACCTTCAGGTTCCGATCCATCAGGAAGAGATTCGCCGATGCAGAGCTGCCAAGACATCACGCCTGGCAGCCACAGCCAATCCGAAACCCCGATGGGCAGCAAGAGTGCCTCCCAGTCTGGTAATACAGCTACCTATCACTGTGACCTGAGAGCCAGTTCTTGCAGGCATCTACACTCTCAGCACTGGGTTATGCAACTTGATGACTGTGTCAACTGGTTTCCCTAGAGAATGTGTATGGATCAACATGAAACCTTCACTTAAGGCATTTGGTTCACAATGGTTCTTTCCCACATGCAAATCATCCATTGATGCTATTTTCATCACATGATAAGCTGGGCCAGTCCAGATCTAAAGGGCTAGTTGAGGTATTAATTCTGGAAAGAACCAGTTCAGGTGTCACCATATGGAGATCCAGTGGGGGAAAACTGCACTTCCATGTACTGGTGCTCTTCATAAGAAGGGCACGTGAGCTGGCCTGATGTTGTGGAACAAAGGATGGTGTGTTATATTACTGGAAGATATGGATTCCCGATGAACTGGACCCATTCCAACTTGGCAATACAAGACTAGAGTCAGCAATTCTTTAGCTAGCAGTAATCAGCTGTTATGAGTTCCTCCATTTCTCTTCTGCTAATGCAACTACAGAAAATGATTTTGGCTATCTAGTTCAGTGGTTCTTAACCTTTTTGAAAGAAATGCCCCCTTGAGCCATTGAGGAAGTTATCATCGCCCCTCTCCCCACGGTGATGATTGATTGATTGATTGATTGATTGATTGATTGATTGATTGATTGATTGATTGATTGATTTAAGACACTTAAATCCAATAACCCCTGAAAACAAAATTCAATTGCAAGAAAATGAAATGCCCCCCAAAAGTAACATTTAATGATTTAGTTGCAAGGGAATTTTAAGAAGCAAAAAGAAATATAAAAAGGGTATAAAAACAAACCGCAATGCAGGAATTAAAAATTTCAAGATGAAAACTCTGAAACTAAATTAAGATTGGAGGAAAATATATATTCATGCACATTGTAAAAAGGCTGCAGCCATCTTCACAGGTGTGGCTTGCTCCAGTGCCCCCTATCCACCCCCCCTGCTCCAGCGCCCCCACGCCGCCCCATTTCATTCTACCGCCCCCCTGAAAAATGAAATCGCCCCCTGGGGGGCATTATCGCCCACGTTAAGAACCACTGATCTAGTTTACTTAAAATTCTTCCCTTTTGCCTGAAAGTATGGTATAAGTAAGTAGCATTACAGTTATAACTTAAAGTTAAAATTGTAATGCTACTTACATTTTTGGGGGTATAACTGTATCTTTTGGTTACTTGTAGAGTTCCAGGTGTGCTCTAATTGTATGCCTCATTATAGACCTTCTTTTCTTTTTTTAATGGGTGTTGAGATAATGACAAGGTGGAAGGTAGAAGCATTTATTTTGTAATTTAAGACTGCAACTTGTTACATTCAGAATTAGGGCTTAAGGTTGGAGCAGAGTGAGTATTTTGTCACAACATTTTGAGCTTAGGATGCCATTTTGCTTAGAACATAGATAGCTTATGTTGACAGCTTTTTCAAAGAAGTAACTAAAAAAATAGCATTCTATTTGTAACATTTTATACCCTGCCTTCTCCTTCAAGGAGCTCATGGTGGCCACGTACATAGTCCTCTTCCTCTTCACTTTAGACTTACAACAACCTTGTCAGGTAGCCTAGGCTGAGAATGAATGACTGGCCCAAAGTTGCTTAATGATTTTCACGGCTGAATTGGAATTTGAACCCAGATCTCCTGAATTTGACTCCCAACATTATAGCCACTATGCCACATTGGCTCTTATAGCACACTAGTTTTAATCTAGTCTAGTTATTTTTGAGAAATGTAAAAGCAACATTATTTTAAAAATTCTACCTATGATGGTAACTATTTGAGGCAGCTTGATGATATCATTAATTACTTTTCAGAAGGTACTTTACAAGTTGCCAGTTGACCTTTACTCTGTGAATTGCTAGGATGATGTTGACTAACTGTCTAGCATTCCACCTAGGCAGCTTCATATTAAATTGGTCCTTCAGCCTTTATATGAGTAGCCTTTGAACGTCAAGAGTTCTCCAGCTGTGGCCACAAACTCTTGGCATTACTGGGGGCCAACTTGAGTATGAAGCCTTCTATCTAGGTTTCTCCCTGTACAAGTCATTTAAGCCCAGCCAGTATCTCAGTTAAATCAGTCCTGTGACACTCTAAATTCTTCATTAGTTCCATAAGCATTAGCGCAAAGCAGATCTAAAGTCAACATGCAGACAAATGATGTTTACAGAGTTCAGAGGTTCTGGGAAGCCTCTTGAACAGTTAAGAAGTCTAAGCAGTCTTTGGTTTGCAATGCATCCTCTAGCAAAACACATAATTACTAGCTTCAGATCTGGCCTGGGTTATTTACATCAGTACTTAATGTAGCTAATGATGCATGCTGCAAAATTATATCATTTCAGATTCCCATACTTACTTACAAGTGAAACTCAGCTCTCTTATTTTGCCCATAATTACTTTACCAAACCATCAGGAGCTGGTCTCTGTCAAGAGCTTCATTTGGGGTCATATTAAATAACATTTTATGTGTGCAACTCAGCTAAAATATTGAAAGCCGGTACTATTAGATACCAAGGCCTATTTTTGTTCCAGAATACAATGCTTAAAATTCTCACGGTTCATTTATGTAGCAAATGGCCCTGAGTTAATGGTCGATTATATGCTGCCTTTTAAACACTATGGCCCATCGCGCAGAAGGTGGAATGCTGATTTGAGCAAATAATTACCATGTAGGAGTTTGACCATTTCTGCTGCAGTGGAGTTTTGCATGAACTTTCAGGGAGGCAAGTAACAAAAGCACATTTTTCAGGAACAGTAAGTGTCCTTTTACCAAGTGCTTTTCATTGTCACTGCAAAGAGACACAACTGTTAAGCAGGAACACACTTTTATAGGCAGAAATTAGCATTCTAAGTCACATGCGAGATAATGAGATGCAATTCTTTTCCTTCCAAAGCAATCCTTAAAATATTCTGCAATGATATTATGAGATGTTGCCTATCAAAGAAATTGGCTGTTTCAGCTGGTAAATGTGACAAAAAGATGCCACATGGTCTTGCAGTGAGTTTAGCTGCTTCATGAGGGATGGGCAAGGTAAGGCTATCAATTAGCCTCACAACTGTCTCTCTCTTCCGCCACTTCATTTAACCTTTGTATTGCTTCCTGCCAGCTCCCGAAACAGAAGAAGTAGGAAGCAGCATGTCTACGCTGGAACGGTCGCTCGCAGCCCGCAGAGCAACGCGTGCCAAGCTCATGATTCCAATGGACTCACAACCCAGCAATCCATGTAAGTTGTGCGCCCATAAGCCTACACCCACCATAGTACAGTAATATTTTTCAGTTCTTACATATGAGACAATAAGCATCTTTCATTCAATTTGTTAGGTAAATATTTAAAAGAATGTCTTCTTCCACATAATCCTGCCTGCATTCAACAACACCAGTTTTAGAGTGGAGCGTAAATATTTAAAAGAATGTTTTCTTCCACATAATCCTGCCTGCATATTCAGATCTTGAGTGGAGGCCCCATGCTGTGTGTCCCCATTTATTTTATTTATTTATTTGGCCCATCTAGATGAATCTACTCTGGGCGGTTTGCAGTTCAAAAAAGGCAATAAAATTAATATCATCAATAAAAAGAAACTGAGTAATTCTCAATGGACAAGGCACTGCGCTGGATGTCTCATCTCGATCCACTGTTTTCAAATAAGGTGCAAGATCCTGGCAGATGGCCTCCACTTTTGATTTTAAAAATGCTACAAATTGGTCTCAAGAAATGCTAGATGGAGGCCAATCATTGTGGCCAATTCTGGACAGATCACGTACAATATGGAAAAGTTCCACCTGCTGATTGGATGCTTTGCTTATCTGGACAGTGAAGTAAGCTTTCCTGGCAGCCTTCACTTTGGCAAGGTAAAGGTCTTGGCAGCTCTCAGGTTATTTTCTGTCAGGTACCACCTCCAAATGCTCTCTAGCCTTCTCCTGTTTTGCTTCATAGCTCGCAGCTTATAGTTGAAACTGGGCGCTGGTCGAACTCTGCGCTGGAGAGGGCATTTAGGAGTAATTGTGTCCACAGCCATAGTGGCGATGGCAAACCAGTTGTCAAACAGGGCTTCGATAGTAGCGCGAGCCACATCAATTGGAATCACTTACATGGAATCCTGGAATCCTAAAGGATCCAGTAGCCTGTGAGGGCGGACCATTAAAATAGGTCCTTACTCCCCGTGGTGAGGCAGGGCCACAGTGAGGTTGCCTTTTATTAGGTGGTGGTCCAACTATGACAAGGGGACTGACACAAGGTTAGTTACCATCGGGCCACATTCACTCTGTTCAGCGGAGAATACCAGGTCCAGCATGTGACCTCCCACGTGGGTGGGGCCATTAATATGTTGGGACATATCCAAAAAAGCCATTGTTTCCAAGAACTCAAGATCTGGTCCATAAACCTCCGCCTCCGCATGGATGTTGAAATCACCCAAGACCAATAGCCTCGGGGATCCCAACACAGCCACGGACACGAGGTCTGCCAGCTCCGGTAAGGAAGTGTCTGGATCGCAGGGAGCATGGTATACCAGCAAGATCCCAATACCATCCCTGGCCTCAATCGTCATGTGAAGGGCCTCCAGACCCAGCGTCGCCACAGCAGAAAGCCTGATAACCTCAACAGTATTTCTATGAACAATGGCCACTCCCACCCATCCAGTCTACCTCAGTGTTGGACATCATAGCCGGGAGGACAGGCAAGAGACAGAGGAACACCTCCATCACTGCCTATCCAAGTTTCAGTTACACAGGCCAGATCTGCATCCTCCTCCAGAATAAGATATTGGATGAGCTGGGATTTATTGGATATACAGTAGATCTGGCATTCAACAACACCAGTTTTAGAGTGGAGGGGCGATTGAGCTGGCTACTTCAATCATTGTTGAGTTTGTTAGGGATTGTTTCAGTTGTGGCACCCAGGCCTTGTAAGATGACCTACTGAGTGGTAAGTTAGCATGTACGTTCATTCCACAGAATCATGATGCCTGACTTAGCTGTCTGAAGTGGTGGCCTTATACACCTAATGCCAGGGCACTTCCACCTTCTTAAGTGGCTACTGTAGAGAAACAATTTCCTATTTGGAATTTGTGAAAGAATCTGAAGCTTTGCAGCTGATCTGGGGCAGAGCAGGTTCAAGGGTACACGGGTTGCTTCTGAGGTGGCTGGTGCTGCATTAAAGATGTTCAATACATGGCTAGCTCTCTTCCTGTTCTCTATGGTTGAACTTCTGGATTTGTAAATACACGTAAACAAGTTAAAAACATTGGCACTCTCTCCTCACAAGAAAATTAGGTCTGTACCAGTTGTCCCCATAATTTCCTTTCCCTTCTGTACAAGGGGAGTAGCAGAATACTGTCTCAAACTATTTGGATGCCACCCTGCAGGCAATCTTTTTGACAGAATTACACAGTTAAGAAATCAAGGATGACATAACATTAATTGCAACCGTCTTCCTGTTTTGGCAGTCTGATGTAAATCTGCCAATCCTGTCTATCAGAAGGATCCTTCCAAATTCCTATGCCTTGAGTTTAAAATATCCCAGGATTCCTCTTCAAAACATGTTTGCAGTGCAAAATGGAGCATTTTAGAGTCTCTCTTGCAGTACATGCGGGTGCTGTTAGTGCTGGATAAGTCACATTAGAGAATCAACTGTTTTAGACTTCTTGTGTGTGTGTAATTTAAGAGAGTTAATGTAAGGTTTAAAAAAATACCCAAAGGGATTCTGGTTTTCTTACAATGTAATAACAGTACGCAAGTTGCTAAATGTCTCAGTAATGTAAGCAGGTATGTTTACTTAATTGTTTTAAGCTTAGGGTGGATGCGAGTGTTAGTTTCATTTTCTCATTCATTTGAATTAATAGCCAAGTCTGGAATGTGAAGAAATTCAAGAAATTGGGTAATCTTTTCAAAAGGATTAGCCGCCTAGAGTGGTCTTAACTGACCAGATAGGCGGGATATAAATAAAATTTAAAAAATGATTTTTGAATATCATCCCACCCACCCCATCTGCACAGCCAGATTGAATTGGTACAGATTAGAGGTGGGCACAACCTGCCAGTTTGGCAGTTCAGCCCAGTTCATTCACCAGCCAAATAGGTATTTGGTGCTTCCAGGCTCCACATCCTCTGGTATGCACCACTCAGAGGCAGAGACTGGAGGAGGTGGGGCAGAAAAGCTGGGGTACTGCCTCTGAATGGACACCCACCGTCTCCTACAGGAAGCCAGATTTAGATTGGATATCAGGAGAAACATCTTAACTGTTAGAGCAGTATGGCTATGTAACCAATGACCTCGGGAGGTGGAGAGTGCTCCAACACTGGAGATATTCAAGAGAAAATTGGGCCACCCTCTGTCAGGCCTATTTTGATTTGAATTCCTGCCTTGAGCAGGGGGTTGGACTCAATGGCCTTACAGGCCCCTTCCAACTCTGTGATTCTGTCTTTGCAGATTTTGGTAAATCATGTCAAAACCAAACTGATACAACATACCTGCTTCTCACCTGTTTGATAAACCTGACAGGCACAATTTGTGGATCCTCTGGCTAGATGCGAAATTATGAGCCACTTAGTGTGGCTTTTCAGCTGCTCCTTAACCTCATCTTTGCAAATGTTTTTATGCTGTTACATTTGAAGCAAAAGTGAGAAGATACTAAACTCTATATCACCCACGGTTGAAGGGCATTGCCGCTAGCAGTCCATAATCTGCACAGGCCTCATGGAATACGGACCACAGATCAGAGAATGAAGATGACGGTCAATCACGTATTGGAGTCAGTGACATCAACAACAAGTTGGAATCCATGTTGGCACCAGATCATTTTAATCAGAGTGTAATTACTAGATACTAATAAGGGTGCAATTGGCTTCTGCACAGTGAGTAGACGGAGTCCTGCTTTTCACAGTGCACAGGATGAGCTGAGAGAATTCTGGATGTACATTTTTGAATGCCAGGTGGAGGCTTGTGCTTTCCTCTCAGCTAGAGACAGAAAGAAAATATTTGCACATTGTGTAGTTTTTTAAAAAAGAGGGGGAGAGAGAGTTATGCCTTCTGTACCATAAGAAGGAAACAAGACAGATGAGAGCTAGCCTCTCTCGTAAGCAAAATGGGACATCTTGCAAAAGCAGCGGATTGCAAGTGTTATAAGCGGGATGCCTATGGGTAGCTGTTCAGGTTGTTATTATTGCACCCTTTGCCACCCAGATGGGGAGAGCTGCTTGTGAGATTTTCTGCCATAGGCGCCAAAAGAATTTGTCTGACGTGGCTTGGTTGACACAGGGACAGTACTGTAGATTGTCCTGTCACCAACGGCAGATGATCATGATCAGACCTAAAAAAGATCCTTGACATGATCAGGGTAAAGAATCGTGGTAAATAAACTTGTTGCCATAAGCCTAAAGCTTGCCCACTCTTGCTGTGGACTGATTATGGCAAATTACCATGGATAGTGTTTATTCTCTATGAAGGTATCCAACTCCATTTTGAATGCCACACCTTCCTCCTCCTCCTCCTAGAACTGCAGAGCTGGAAAAGACCGTATGAATCATTTGAGTCCAGCTCCTGTCAAGGAGGCACAGGAGGGAATCAAACTCCCAACCTCTGGCTCTGCAGTTGGGTACCTAAACTTGTAACAATGAATTCCATATGTTCCAATTAGGCATGGTGTGAAGAAGAATAGCTTTTGTCTTTGTTTTCCTGTTGGTGTTGCCTGCCAATCAGTTTGGTCAAACTATAACTTATAAGACAATTCACAACATGAATGAAGAATAAGTGTTGTCAGCAATGAAACAAACTTACACAGAAGCTGACAGAACTGACTTATAGTGACTCAAATAGGTTGTTCAAGGTAACTAAGATATTTGAGGAGTAATTTTGACAGTAGCTGCCTCCATGAATGTCCTTGGTTGAACCCAGGTCTCCTGAGCTCTAGGGCAGTCATTCTCAATGGGAGTTGTATGGCTCTCGTGGCTTGGGTTGGCATTTTTGAAGGGGACCATAGATTGGAAACAATTCTTTATAGACCACTTACAAAATTCTTTATGCAACTTATAGAGAGATGGGGTATTTGTATTCGTCTATGAATACCCCCACACAGGTGGACATAACGACCGTCCGGCCCCATAGACTGTCCACTCACTTTCCACTGCTGCCATCGGTTCAGTACTTCCTTCCAATCGCTCCGGAGCTCACGGTCAGTGAGCCACTCTTCGACTTGGCAGCGAGGCTCATCGTCCCACCCCCTACCAG